AGAAATATTTTGATCTTCCTGATGGCTATCCACACTTGTAAGCCAACAAAATAAATGTTTCGAAAATTCTTCAATAGAAACTAGTCCCCAGTCCTTGCCATTCCATGTCCATTTGTCAAACCCCTTCATATGAACGCAATCAACATTGCATTTTGGGATGAAGATGAATGCCATTCGAACAACGCCGTTCTGTTATGACCACTAAACGGGAACAGCGAGACTAATTCGATTTCCTGGACATGCCGGACACAACAATGTAGATCGGCCCGAAAGAGTTTTCCCAAAATGTGCCAATCCTTTTGCCTTTTTTACAACAAAGTCAGGCCTGGGCCCTAATGAAAACTAAACTATTTAACCAGAAGTGGTCGCCGTAATTGGCTCAAAAGAGTTAAGGCTGGGGAAACTGTAACGCCTACCTAGATCGGAATGCCATATCGGCCCGTATCCTGGCCAGGTAAGCCGGCTAAGTCGAGGTGTTTGTGCCGGACCAACGCCCACAATAACAACTTGACTCGGCCAACGGCATAATTTATGCTGGCCAAGAGTGGCCGAGGAAACCTCGAGGCAAACAGGGACAATCGCAGTCACAGTTCGAATGAAAATCCTGGCAGGCTGGCTAACAGCTCGTAAATCACAAGGGGCAGGGGAGGAAAGTTGACTGACTGCTTGACTCGGCCGAGGGACTTACCTGCCGCACGGAAAATGCAAACGCTGGCCATAAAGTCCGCCCAAGGCCTCCGGGTTCCGTTCGCCTTTGTTTTTTGCTGTTCAATGGAAAACGCAGTGCGGATAAGGATGTGCCTTGAGGTCCTGGCCTCACCTTGATGTTTATGACATGTAAATATTTATGGTTGACATGACCTTGCCGGTCCGTGTCCTCCGATCCGCTCATCCCCTGTCACGCACTTTTTTTATGATTCGCCCGAAGCCAAACTGCTTCGTCCGCTCTCCAGCGAAATCTTTATGGGGCGTATAATTTTCCCAAATTTTATATTTTCCTCTATCTGCAGATTCTCGATGTGTGTGCTGGCAGAGGAGATGCCTTGTTCCGGTGTCTTCGTGGGATGGTCGTAAAAAAATTGACTTTCCTAAGCTATGTTGGCTCTTAATCCGCGAACTGCCTTCCTCTGATCATCACGCCCGGGATTAGGCATTCAGATTTCCTAATATTTTTTTGCGGGTGTTGCGAATTTCCTCTCTGGACGTGGCCAAGGTCAGCCTACCTGGCTGTTTATTGGTTGTGCAATGGGAAGTGGGTGGTTGAGGCGGCGGCGCAGAAGTGTGCTTACCACCTGCGGCAAGAAATGGGAGATCAAATTAATTTCATTTGCAGCGAATTTCGATGTTAATTAATTGTGTTTGGAATGTGCTTGAAGGAGAAGACAATGATTTGTATTCTCATATGAAGTTTTCACCTGTTCATGTCATGATTGTGATAAGCCTTCTTGAGATTCATTTTTAATTATAAGTTGTCATTGGTGTCAGCATTTAATTACTGATTAGGTGGATACTAAACTTAACTCTAATGAGAACGTTTATAGAATAGAATAGAACAGAAACATCAACCAACAAAAGGTGTAATGAAGACAAAGAGTTCCTTATTCGTCATTATGGATGTCAGAGAACAAAACTTTTCTTATAAAATTCAATAAAATATTGTACTAATCACACTTTAAAGTCTTAAAACTAATAACTACTTTCTTGAAAACTAACGACGCTTCTTAACAAAGAAGAGGAGTCTCAGTTTTAGAAAATGCAAAACTCTTCCCGCTGTTAGAAAGTTAACTTTGCTTCTCAGCCACACAGATTTTGCATCTCTCATTAAGGTCTAAAAAACAAATTATTTTCCTGAAAATTTGTACAAACAAAACGAATGTTGACTACCATTACCAAGCCATTCTTTTCTTTTCTTCCTTTTCGAAATATTTTCCTCATTAGTTAGGCGGAAAATGGCTTTCTTTCTGCACTCTTCTCTCCAGCGAAGACCATCCATCAGCACAAAATGAATGGAAAGGAAAACGCCAAAGAAAACCAGTTGGAGGGAAAACTCCCACGCTCCCACTTCACTCCTTTGACACTCTTGCTCTGCAAGACTTCCCGCTCCCTGGGCACTCACTCGAAGTCGAACTGGAATCACGAATCTCAGCTCTGGCTCTGGAATCCCGGGTCTCGAGTCTCGAGTCTCGAATCTCAAGTCTCAAGCGAACCCCAGGCGAAAAGACCAGTACAGTGCTCACCGCTGTGATCGCGGCATGTGCCAAAGGCGTCCACGCCAGGTTACGGTTTTATTTTGATTTCCTCGGCGACTCCGACTCCGGGTCGCACTCATGACACGAGGCCATTTCCCCAGGCCAACGCCCACTGGTTGCCCACTTTGTTGTGGCCAAACTGATTAAGCACAGCCGAGCAGGGCAAAGTCCGCGGCTTTTGGGGGTGAAATCGAGACCAAAATTCGAAAATTTCCACGAAAGCTGGGATATTCAAATATATATTTCTTTGAAGATTTTCTTAAAATATGTACAGCTTATAATTTAAGGGAAATAAGTACATGAAAGTGAAGAAAATCGAATGGTTGTACTCGCAAATTCTTTATTTATTTATCAAAAGCTAACACTTAGTTCTAAACTAAGAGCTACCTTCGGGTTATGAGCTGTAGCAGCCATATAAATATACGAAGGCATCGTTGGTTATCCGTAAAGTTAATGATGAACAAACTTTTTGGCAGTTTTAAAGGTAATATAAGCAATTTATGTAACCAAACTCCATTCATTCTAGACAATACTATAACATTTAACCAAAGAACTCATAATAATGAAAAGCGCTCCTTCGATTAGACCTCAAAAGCGCGTTTACCTCAAGAAGTTTTCTCTGCAGATCGCTTCTTCTAGAGAACAACAGAAGCTGCGACCTGCTGGGCAAACTTGCCATATTGTTTATCCCGAGGTTTTACATTTATAATTTGTTGTTTGCCAAGACTTCTGATTGTTGATCTTCCCGCTAGCCAGCTAGTTGGCTGAGCTCTCTGTGATTGCGAAGTTTATGGCATTTGGCGCTTCCATTTTCAAGTGGCTGGAAATGCATTATTTATGGGAGTGGTTCCATGGCAGTGCGCTAGAAATCCACTTCGGCCAACGTCTCCATTTCCAGCTGAATCTTCCTCCCCTCCGGCGACTCCTTCCCCTGCTCAATGGCTTCATTTCGAGTGACATTCGTCGCTGCAGCTCTGCGGGATTGGGTCCCAGCCAGCTTGGTGCACTTTTCGACGCTTTATGGTCTTGCCCGGGTCCCAATATGGCATTGGGGTCGGCCTGGCACTCGGACGATTGCCGATTGCTGATTGCCGCGGAGTTGTTTTGACAATTTAATAGCCAGCTCTTCGTTTGGCGGCGCTGCTTAATGTCACAATTTGCCCAAATGTTTTAATTACACGCCGAACAGGGGCCATAATACTAAATTGGCTTTAACTGTTCCGATAATGAGCCACTTAACACCCAAAAATGGTCTTGGTAATGAACTTTTGTACAGATGAAACTGCAACTAATATTGTTTTGGGGAGAAACATCGATTAATGTGGATTACTTATGATAATATTAGTATCAACAGGCTCTCTCCCATATCATTTTGGAAAGGTTTGCCTTTAATTTTGTATAAAACTGATATCAGAATAGATATTTACTTGCTTTTAAGATTTTTATTGGGACTCATTTGATAAATGAAGGATTGATAAATGAGTAAGTAAAAGTTTTGATTGCACTTACTCGGTGGAAACTTTAAACAAGGATATATACGGATTATACTTAGTTCCCTTTCTTTATGAAATCAAATCTTCTTACATAACTTAAACAGTCTGAAAAGAAACGAAGTTCTTGGAAGAATCGAAATGTAAGAAGTGTAAAAGAAAATGACTTGAAAGATGAACACACTTTTGGCAAGTCCTGAAAACAACATTTAGTGGCATTTATTTATTAATTTACTATTAGTGTAGGATTTATTGTATAATATAACATAAAAAGCAGATATCATCATGATGCAGATGTGTTGTTTTAAATTAAGTAAAAAGCATTAGCAAAGACAGGCCAGGTTCTATCACAAAACAAATATTTGGTCTGAAAATAAAGTGGAATATGTGAAAAGCCCCCCGCCAGTCGGGAAATCACTTCACAATCTGCCCCAAAACCCAATTCACGGAGGCACTTAGCACTCAACAGAATCCAATCAAGGCGATCGATACGAGATTATGTATTGTTTCGGAGCTGCTTATTGAAAATTCCATAAATTAGCAAATGGAAAACAGAGCGTTTGGCGCTAATGAAAGCCCGCACGTCTTCATTGCGCAACCCAAACGCAAACAGAGCGGCTGGAAAGCGGCGATGTCCGAGCGGAATGTGCTTAATATCATTAAAATCAATAAAATAAACAACTAATTTGATAAGCTGACAGCTGAAGTGGAGGCACTGCGTCCGCAGTCGGGCCCCGCGAGGAACGCGCTGGAAAGTGCATCCCGCGAGCTTTCAATTGGCTGCCCGCCGGTCCAATCAGCATCGCGGCCCCCTGCACAGGCGCACGCAGCGCCCAGTCGGCCCACCACCCACTGGCCAACCGCAGTGGGTGTTAATTTGCGCGGAACCAGTTTGCTGAGTGAGAGAGCAGTATGCTCGCCCGGGTTCCAATTGGACTGCAAGCAGCAGCCTCTGTGCTTCTCTAACCGTCGCTCGCCTAAGCAACGGGACGGCCATTTTCTTCGGTCCATCCCACTCGCACTCACTGGCCAGGCCTATCCGACAGAGTGGTGGCTTAACAAACTCACCACATTTAGCTCAACTCACCTCGGGACGTCAGTACGTTCGGCCTGCTCGCACTCATAGCTGTGCAGCCCGTTGCCATTTTGCGGGGTGTCTATGCCATTCCCGCTCGCACACACGCGATCGCCGGCAGCAGCGCTCACGAAGCGACGAGCAGCGAGTTGGAACTTCAGGAGCATTTCAGTCCTGCTGCGCATCTTGAAACGTCAAGTCTTGGCATTCGGTTGAGTCAAGTCTTGCTGCGATTCGAACGCCCAGAAACGCAACGCGCGCGAGTGAATCCCACAGAGATCAGAGATCCGAGCAAATAGAGTATATCTCAGCACATTAGTTAACAGTTAAGTGACGTGACCTCAGTGCGGTGATGGGCTCGCTGGTCTAGTGCAACAACAAAAAACTGCAGTGAGTGTCGAAGAATCAAAACAGAAACCAGAAACAGTCAAAAAAGAACTTCATAACCATGATGATGAACGCCTTCATCGAGCCGGCCCAGCATCACTTGGCCAGTTACGGGCTGCGTATGTCGCCCAACACCACCAACACCCCAAACAGCAACAGCAACACGCAGCAGCAACAGCAGCAGCAGCAACTCGAAATGACCCAGCAGCAGCAGCAGCAACAGCAGCAGCAGCAGCAACAACAGCAGCAGCAGCAGCACCAGGATCAGGAATCCGCGGCGGCCACTGCTGCAGCCTACCAAAACTCTGGATACGGGCACTTCAACAGCTATGCCTCCCGGGATTTCCTGCTGGGCAGGAGGGAGGCCGATTACGGGGTTACTGGAACCGCCGGACAGGCCACCGCCGCAGCGGACTCCATGCTCTTCTCCGGCTTCCCTGCTCAGGCTGCCGAGTTGGGCTCCGGATTCGGACAGCATCCGTTCCACAGCCACCATCATCACCATCACCAGATGCGGATGGGCATGGCGGATGCCTATGCCGCCGGCCACCCGTACAACCACCACGGCAACTTCCCGACGGCGGCGGTGCACCACCCGGTTGTACACCACCCGTCCCACCATGCCATGTCCGCGATGCATCCCGCCGGAGCTGGCGCCTTTCTGCGCTACATGCGCCACCAGCCGACATCGTCGGCCTCCAGCGTCAAGCAGGAGATGCAGTGCCTCTGGATTGATCCCGACCAGCCGGGACTCGTTCCTCCGGGTGGCAGGAAGACCTGCAACAAGGTCTTCCACTCAATGCATGAGATCGTCACCCACCTGACGGTGGAGCACGTGGGCGGACCGGAATGCACCACCCACGCCTGCTTCTGGGTGGGCTGCTCCCGCAACGGACGACCCTTCAAGGCCAAGTACAAGCTGGTCAACCACATCCGCGTCCACACCGGCGAGAAGCCGTTCGCCTGCCCGCATCCGGGTTGCGGCAAGGTCTTCGCCCGGAGCGAGAACCTCAAGATCCACAAGCGCACGCATACGGGTAAGTTTACTTTAAAGTTTGAAATTGAAAAGTGGGAAATCACACTTTCCTATAGGTGTTTAGAATGAACATTTTCCGAACTCATCAACTTCTACTTCCCCCTTTCTACGACCCCTCCAAACTTAAAGTCTTAGAAAACAATATTTGTTAAAGATTTTTAGATGAAATTTGAAATAAATTCAGATCTCACATGTTGGATTCATCTAATTTAATCTCATGTATATCCATTTGCAATAATATTAATAAGCGTTAACCTCTTTAACTTAGAAGAAGATTCCTTCTTGACCTTTTAAGTTTGCATTCAACGAAAGGAGTTCAAAATTCTTGCTATTTTCCGTAGCCGAAGATCAGAGCACCTTGTCGTGGGTTTAACCCTTGCCCGCAACCGGGCAAATCCCGGACGTTGTCAAAGTGGGCGGGTTGCCGTCGGCAAAAGTCGGTGCAACGCCCACTACCTGGCTTAACCCTCCACTGGCCGCTCGGGCCTTCTTTTATGACACCTGTAAAACCTGCGACTTAAGCCCTTCCCTCGCCCTGAAAATCCCCCTTCAAAGTTGTTTTCCTCACGGCAAGGATTATTCCAGCGACTTTGTGTTGACTTCGACTTTTGCCATTTTCAGCATTTCCTAAGCCAGGAAACAGCTCTTGACTCTCGCTTTGGGAGCCGAGTTTAATCACTTTAAGTTTCTATCAATCAAAGTAAAATCAGTTCTCTCTTTCAGTCATACAAAATGAATGATATAATTTTTGGCAACTTTTGATTTAATGAACTTTTGTAGACTTCACATCAGAACTTAAACGCCTCTGTTAATCATGCCAATTTTAAACATCTCTCTTTCGATTGCCTTTCAAGAATAAATCAAAATCGAAGCTGGGCTTAACATCAGCACTTCGGGTAAAAATTAATCAGGGACAAAGGCCTGCATTTTAGTATTTCCTTTGTCCGAGGTTTAAAAGTACAATTTATGCGCTTCGGTAGTGATCTATGAGGAGCTGAACCTTAAAGCCAGAAACGAAGATTAACGCAAATTAATGACTTTGATTCCCGTGGCTGTTGAACTTGTTCCATTGAAATTTATGGCTGGGCATGTAGGGCTCATTAGAAGCGGCGAAACACAGCCATTAAAATCAATTAACCAGTGGAAAGCCAGGGAAAACAGGCCGTAACTGCGAAAACGCAGAACAAAGTTGCCAGAAATCGGCGGCGTAATTGTTTTGAAATTGCGCCACTCGGCTTGATGAACCTTCTGGCGAAGGAGGGAAGGTCCTCGGAGGCCTTTGTCCTTGTTTCGTATATCAAAAAAAGTTGGGAAAATCCAGAAAATGGATTTTTACATTCCCCTGCTTTTGAGCGTGGGCTTTAACAGCTTTTTCGGAGGATTATTCGGTTTCTGCTTTATAAATTGAATTCAAAATGACGTCGGGCCTTCATTATAGACACATTCTATAGTTGCCACCAGGAGAGTGGAAATAAAACTCTCGCCGAGATTCATAAATCACAAAATTAGCTGCTCAAAAAGCTATTTCTTTATTTTTGGTTCGGACAAACAACATTTTCTTTTGCACACTCATCGAAAGGTAATTAAAATGTTTCGTTTTGATTTCGAGACGCCGCCATATTGTGTTCGATCTCGGAACAATCATGTGGCATTATAATGATCTCTGGGGCATTGTGATTGGGTTCCTGTGTGTACGTTATGATGATATTTTTGACTAATTTCATATTTCTTCTCCGCTTCGGCCGTGATGCAGCAGAAAGTGCGCTTTTTAGACTGATTTGTGTGTGTGCCTATGATTGGTTGACCTGGCCAACAAATTGCCGGAGATAGCCAACATACTGATTGACTTTCAAGTGGCCGACGCACAACTTCATTAGGTACTCGGGTCGGGATCGGGGCCTTTAACCTTTCCGTGGGATCCGGGCACTTGAAGTACCATCCCCATCTGGCCATCTTGCCCATCCTCACTGCATACTCGTACTCGTACGAGTATAAATCAAAAATTCAATCAGCATCGCTGGCCGGGTTAAATGTCCCTTGGCGCTGGTGTTTGTTTATGTAGCATTGACACCAGCTAACACCAACAGCAAACAAACACACACTCTGCCAGTGCGTTGACACGTGTCAAAACTTCCGTTTGAAATCGCTCGGAAGTGCTTCTTTGGCACTCCGTGCCTGGCCCTCTCAAAAGAGCCATCGAAACCCCGAAATTGGGGTAACATTCCCTGGATTCGCACACATTCCTCTCCTCCGGACTCATTTTATTTACGTTTGCGATTGTTTCTGCCCTGTTCTGGTTGCTGAACATGCAACATTAAGCTTTTGATTTAGAATATGCAAAGGTTATTTATGATCTGGTTTCCACTGCTCGCCCCTTGGGAGTGGGTCGGGATTTGCCGAGTGGGTGAGTAGAAGAACGGAGCAGGGCCAAGTCAAGTATGTGTTTATGGATCACGAGGCGATTACATAGCTATCTGGATCTGCCTTAAGTGGTGCCATTAAAGCAGCGAGAACTGATTTCAAGGGTCAATATACCAAAGCAAGCACCAAGTTTGGGATGGGAAGCTGGAATAGCCGTGATTGGTCAATAGCTTGGGAAGTTGAAATATAAATATTACCCCTGTTGATGTTAATAAAATGCAATAGCTGGTATTTTCCATCTTAATGGTTAATTAGTAACATGATTTAAGCTATTTCTAATCTATGAAACTGTGAATTCCGCGTAGAGTTTCCTTTTCTAAAATCCAAAACAAAAACTTCTCTCTCTGCTTTCATTCCATTTCCAACCGTTCCCAGCAGTGATTGCGTTGTGTTAACTTTTGCACTTGTCACCGCCACCATCTGCAATTTTGTCCAGCCTCCTGCTCCTTCCTCTGCCCTTCCCTTCCCCACTCTCCATCCCTGGAATCTCCACAAAAAAACACAACAAACAATCAAGGTTTGTCTGCTCTGTTTGTGGCTGTCGTTTTTTGTTGTTTGGGGCTCTGTTGACCTGGCCGTGGGTCTGTGAGGCTGTGAGGCTGCGAGTCTGGATAGATGGCGTTTATCACGCTGTGCAAACCGCACACACACATAGCCGTCTTTTTACACGACTCCTTCCACTCCTCCTGCCCCTCCTGCCGGACCACAAACAACTTTATTCATTAACACCTACAACGGGCCACAGGATCCGGATCCGACTACGACTGCCGCAAGAGCATTCAACAACTTTGTGGTTAGTTTTTATTCGCAGCCCCTCCGCCCGCCCGCCCGCTCCTTTCGAGCTCATTAAGCTGCTGCAGCTTCTCCTCCTCCCACCGCCCGCCTCTGGTTTTCCGTCTACGTTTCCATTTCCCAAGTGCATCCAACCACTCGCTTTTCCAGGCGCCTTGTTGTTGTGCAATTATGCTGCGGGGCAAAGTTTAGCATTCAACATTGTCCTGGTGGCTGCGACCCTTGTTTGATTAGCTCCCCCCTCCCGCCGGGAGCCCCTTACAGCCCCTTTTATCCCCAACTCGACTCGATTTAATTGAGTGCAAGTGTTTTTTTAATGAGTCTTTTATGGACTTGTTCAGTCTTTGAGCGACGAAGTGAATTATGCAATTATTTACGCTTTTTTTAAGGCAAAAGGAGGCGGGAATATTGGCTATAATGGGGAGTTTGTGGCATTGGGAGTTGGGAGACTTTCCGTAAAAGTAACTAAAAGGTATTCATTACATATTAGGTTATAAAAAATGCCAAATAATTTGCACTTTTTTCCCTCTCGCGGCGCCAATGGAATAATTTTTCAAAACACAAAATTCAAGCAAGAAACCAAAAGCAAAGCGCTGGCAAATGTCAATGATTGATGACTTTATTGCGGGTTCAACGGTTTTCACAAAAACACACACCAAACAGCCTCAGATACAAATACAGATACAGATACAGATACACATTGAGATACAGATACATCGGAGCGGGAGACAAAATCACTTTTTATTTTTGCGGATAAACAGTGTGTTTTGGCTTCTCAGAATTTGACTGTTGGCAGAACAATGGCCAGAACGGACGAGCGAGAGTCAGCGGGAGGAGGCGGTGGAAGAGACCTGCGATGTGCTCGAGCTGATTACCTTGGCTTCACTACCTGGCCAGAGGTTTTGGCCAGGATCTCCTGCCTCCTCCCCCTCTCTCCCGCTGTCTAAGGAATTGACGAACTGAAAATCAATTAGCCACGCTCTCTAGGACCAATTCTCGGGTCTGCTCACCTAATGACGAATGCATTTGAAGGTCCGAGTTCGTCATTTAATTAGCAGGGCCAGCATTGCCCCCTCCGGAGGCGAGGATATCCCCGGAAACCCGGTCCACAAGGACACCATGTTGGCATTCGTTTCGCCCAATTTAAAGTGTCAAATACCAAACATGACACACGATCGCAATCTGCTAAAAACTTTGACAAGCTCCCAAGTTCCCTCCGCGCTTCTTGCAGATTTATGTTCCCGAAGTAAAAGTGAATAAATTTCTGGTGTGGTCCCAGCCCTTGACAGCTGAATGTAAGCAAAGTTGGGCAATTTATCGACTGAACGTAGGGTTCAACTTTCTTTCTGACTGAATTTATGGTTAGTTTTCGGCATCTAGAAAAATAATTACAGCCATTTCGGTAGAACTATTGGAATAACATTTTATTCTCTTGAGTTCTGGGTGGGTAATCAATTATTTTGTTTTAAAATATCTGCCAAGTTAAGTAGTAAGCTATCAGGTTACAGTTTTGCATGCTCTGCAGGAATGATGAATGTGGAACAGAGGAAATGGAACGATCTATTATCGTTAGAATGGGTAGATTATGCTTTCTTCTTCATTATTCAAAAGTATTTAGCAGTAAGGAAGTAAAGACCAATGTCCCTGCTGGCCACCCAGCTCACTCTCTTACCCACCCATGTTAATCTAGCATATGCACCCATTCTAATTAGTGACAACCCCCGACTCGGAACCCCTTCGCAGCGGTCCCAACCAGTTACTTCTAACAATGCCTTTCGACTCACATCC